CCGGACTCCTTGTTCCAACTCCTCCCCACCACCACTCCCATCCCCTCCCGCTCCCGTCTGGCCTCAGCATATATCGCCTGCCATCCATTCATTCTCTCAACACCCGCTCCCATCTCGTCCGCCTTTCCGCTCGCCTTCTCGGGAGGATTCTGACCTGCCGTAATAATATTATGTAAATATGAAGTAAATAATTAATTATTTACAAACACGTGTGCCAAATCTTGTAAATTGATCTATTTCTTAGAGCCGTCTTAGATTTCTTTCTAAAGTAGGCATATATTAGACAACCGTATGTGTACGCATGTGTATGCATGTACGCATGTCATATACGTTGTAGTTATTAAATAATCATTAGCACTATGTCACTTCTAAATTACGAGCCAAAACACTTTTAGAAATTCTCCTGCATACGCGAAGAGCAAAACAGAGCGAATTTCATTAGTAGACGTTTTATCCGTGGGATTTTACCGATTTTATTTTATCGTGAAGCATACATTGATATGTTCTTTACATTTTTTTGGATAATATTAATACTGGATATAGTATTAATATCATGCCTTTTCCCTTATTTCTTATTTTCTCTTGAAAAATAGGCTTGATAAATACCAGTTGCATTGGAAATCCCCAGATAAAGCTATAGCTCGTGAGTTTGTCGATAATTTTAAAAGATCTCAAGTCCTTCCTTTGATAAAATAATCTTACAGTCCACAAAAACAAAACTATTATGTAAATTAAATTAGCCTCGTTTAACCCATCCTGTCAAAGTCATCCAAAAAAATAGATATATCTTAACAAGGAAGTTCGCTGTAGGAATGTTACAAATAGTTTCGTCCTTCAATATAATTCTCAACATTCCAGGATATCGTGCGTTTATTTGTACCATAAACACATCATGCACTATCTTCAGAGGCACATTCAATTGACGTACCCGCAGTTTCGAAAAGCGATTAGAATGTATTCAGATGTTCGTTACATAACTTTTTACATTACACAACTCTCGTAAAGCGTTTATTTCGTGCAACCACATGTGCAGACTCAAACAATGCATTCACGTCACCTTGCCGTACTAATTAAATATTGCTTTAATTTGCATTCTAATTTGGGAATTCGTAAATTGTAAACTGTGATTGTGGTACTGTGAACATTTTGAATGTGTGGCAATTAAAGAAGAGTTAAGTGTCTGCTCATAGTTACAAATTCACTTCTCGGTCTATAAATGGAATGTATTAATTCTTTATTTTATGTCCTTTTCGAAGTCATTATCCAGGAAATGGGTACCATAATTAAGGAACCAGTTTGCGACGAAGGAAAATAGTGGACTTGATCTCCAATGAAGTACGTCAGAATCCAGTTGACACTTTTTGCCCCCGATGTGTTGCGTCGTTTCTCCGTTTAGGTTGCCTTTAAAATGTATTCAAATATGATTTTTTAATTCAGCTCGTGAATGTTTCTTTCTTTCCTAGCTTCAGTGCCAATTATATCTTGCCTGTAAACTGATAAGAAGCCAAACCTTTCTAAAATATTCGTTTCTATAGTAGAACAGTAAAAAATACTACACACGCGCTAATTTTGTAAAAAAAATGTTGGCAAATAGCTGAAACCATCTCGTATTAAAAAATATGTGTTATATGTTGTGAACTTTCTGAATGAAGTCTCCAACATATTTTACGAACGTGGAAAAAAACAATTTCTTGCTTTGTTTGTAAGAATGGAATAAGCAACGAAGAACACACAATTGTTTAACTATAGTTGTTCGTGCGTTTATTGCATATAATAGTGTGTCCATGGAGAAATCTATTTTGTCGTATGTATAAATACTTCAGTATTACCACCAAACAACTGGGAAAATATGACATACACAAAAATTCACAAAACATACGAAGTCTGTAGAAAAATCTAATTATTATGCTTACAGTTGTAATAACAAAAAATAAGAAATAATGTTGCCTGATGTTAATTAAAACTGTATATTTTCCCAAGAACATTCAGTGCTCTGAAACTTGCACATGCCACTGAGTATTTCAAGTCCCTGTGATTGCGTTTTACCGAGCGGGACCAGTCGATTGAATATTCTTCCGCGCTGTAAACAACCCTTTTTATGGAAACCGTCCACATCGGCGCTGTGCCGCGAACGCTGATTGCACGACTGGCTGCCGAAGTCAGTTGCCCCGCTCGTAACTCCCCTCTCTGGAGCGGCCCGCACGGTGCGGCGACCGCATTCTTCGCCTTTTAGTGGCGATCCCTCTCCCGCTCCCTCTCCCTCTCAATCTCCCTCTCCCTTTCCCTCTCCTTTCCCTCTCCCTTTCCCTCTCCCTCTCAATCTCAATCCCCCTCTCAATCTCCCTCTCCCTCTTAATTCCCTCTCCCTCTCAATCTCCCTCACCCTCTCAATCTCCCTCTCCCTTCTCAATCTCCCTCCTTCCTCTCCCTCTTCCTCTCCCTTTCCCTTTCCCTCTCCTTTTCCGCTCCCTTTCCCTCTCCCTTTCCCTCTCCCTTTCCCTCTCCCTTCCTCCCCTCTCCCTTCCCCTGCTCCCCTTTCCCTCTCCCCTTTCCCTCTCCCTTCCTCTCAATCTCCCTTTCCCTCTCCCTCTCAGATCTAAACCCTTC